AGGAAGTTCAGGGTCTCTCCAAAGATCCTCAGGATTTTCTATACAGGTGCTGTGGAGAGCATCCTCACACAGAACATGACATCGTGGTTCGGGAACAGCTGTGTGAAGGACCAAAAAGCTCTCCAGAGAGTGATCCGTACAGCAGAACGCTGCTGCAGGATTGCTCTCCCCCCGCTTCAGGACACCTACACCAGGAGATGCCGGACTAGAGCAGCGCAGATACTGAAGGACCCGTCCCATCCTGGCAACAAACTGTTCCAACTTCTGCAATCTGGTAGAAGGTTCTGCATCTTCCCGGCAAGGACAGAGAGACTCAAGAGGAGCTTCTATCCCCAAGCCATCCGTGCACTAAACACACACACCCGCCCGCTCACATCATCTATAATTGACTGAGACAGGACTCTTCCAGACACTAAACCAAGGAACAATGTACATTTCAATTCCTTTAATTTTAAATATGTTTATATTGTCTATCCTGTAAAATAGTCAGATGTCTATTCATATTAATGTACAGAATTCACCTGCTTGCTGCTACTACTGCACATTCACCCAGTGCATATAGCATATACTATATATATATATATATATATATATATATATATATACGATTCTGCCCCCTCTCCCCTCTCTCCTCCACGGTCTCACTGAACTCTGTCACACACACACACACACACACACACTCTGACTCACTCACTGGCCTGCACCAGTTACCAGTCACTTTGTGGAGCATTGGACTGCCATTACCTCATAAGACTCTGTTGTTACACTATCTCTTACCGTACATTACTAAATCTCCATTTGCACTATTTGCCTATTTGCACTACTCTGCCTGGTTTACACCCAATGTCATTTACCCATTATATTGTATATTGTATAGCTTTCTTGTTATATGTAAAATTGTATTGTATTTATTTAAATTTTTACTTTTTAATTATTTTACCTGCATTTTTTAATCACTCTTATATTTAAATGTTCATTTGCTATTTTATCTAGGGATTGAGAGTAACGTAGTTTCTATTCTCTGTATGTCCTGTACATGTGGCAGAATTGACAATAAAGTTGACTTTGACTTTGATAAAACAAAAAAACACCCAGCACGCCCCTGCGGGCGGTTTATCCCTCAAGCTCGGGTCCTCTACCAGAGGCCTGGGAGCTTGAGGGTCCTGCGCAGTATCTTAGCTGTTCCCAGGACTGCGCTCTTCTGGACAGAGATCTCCGATGTTATTCCCGGGATCTGCTGGAGCCACTCGCCTAGCTTGGGAGTCACCGCACCTAGTGCTCCGATTACCACGGGGACCACCGTTACCTTCACCCTCCACATCCTCTCGAGCTCTTCTCTGAGCCCTTGGTATTTCTCCAGCTTCTCGTGTTCCTTCTTCCTGATATTGCTGTCATTCGGAACCGCTACATCGATCACTACGGCCGTCTTCTTCTGTTTGTCTACCACCACTATGTCCGGTTGGTTAGCCACCACCATTTTGTCCGTCTGTATCTGGAAGTCCCACAGGATCTTAGCTCGGTCATTCTCCACCACCCTTGGGGGCATCTCCCATTTTGACCTCGGGACTTCCAGATTATACTCGGCACAGATGTTCCTGTACACTATGCCGGCCACTTGGTTATGGCGTTCCATGTATGCCTTGCCTGCTAGCATCTTGCACCCTGCTGTTATGTGCTGGATTGTCTCTGGGGCATCTTTACACAGCCTGCACCTGGGGTCTTGCCTGGTGTGATAGACCCCAGCCTCTATGGATCTTGTACTCAGAGCTTGTTCTTGTGCTGCCATGATTAGTGCCTCTGTGCTGTCTTTCAGTCCGGCTTTGTCCAGCCACTGGTAGGATTTCTGGATATCAGCCACCTCCTCTATCTGCCGGTGGTACATACCGTGCAGGGGCCTGTCCTTCCATGATGGTTCCTCGTCTATATATATATATATATATATATATATATATATATAATGAATGTTCTTCCTCTACACCCCCCCCCCCCCAATTTTTTGCACATGTCGAGGAGCGTGTCAGGCTACATTTCACTGTGTGTTATACTTGTATAACTATGCATGTGACAAATAAAGAACCTTGAACCTTGAACCTTGTTCTTTTTAAAGTGAACATTTTTTGGCTTCACTGCTGTGTATTTTTTAAATGACACGGTCTTCATCTGAAAAGATGAACACACTTTTTAAAGCCAAGGACTTTTTAGTTCACTTATCTACTTTTTGCAAGCATCTTTTTTTCATTTTTCGCTGAGCAGTCAATGGCAGCTTAACCTCTGAGACCTACAGTTTTCAGAGGCATGAGAGAGCACTTTGCTTTCGAGATTGATTAATGAAGAGACAGAATGTATTGTGTACATCAAAAACCAGATGTAATTCAAGTTATTCAAGAAAGGCAGAGGTTAGTACAAAAAAAAAATTCTACATTTCTGAGAATATTCATGAATATTCACTGAAATGCAACAGGCTTCTTTAAAGGTGACATGCTATGCTCATTTCCAGCACCCTCCTTTGAATTATGTCTACCGGTGGTTCTTTGCAAACACGATTCACAGTTCATTATGTGTTTTACACTGGATCTTGGCTGCCCATTGCAAACAGAAGGTGTGAACAGCAGGTGGCTGAGGCTGCTGTGCTCACAGACAGAGATGAGTTAATAAACATATTTATGATATTAGATACAGAGGCAGTGGTGGACTTGTTTAATATGAGCATTGTGTGAGTGCTCAGAAGCTATATGACAAAAAATAAGGAACGGTGTAATAGGTCAGACTTAATTTTGCCATGTATATATATATTTATAGCAGCTTTAATTGCTTTATTTTTAGTTTGTTTAATGTTCTTTTGTTGGACTGAAAAGATAATGCCTGATATTAGAAGTCGTGCTGTCAGAATCACTCTGGCCCATTATGACATGGATACAGGATGTCTGGCACCAGGATGTAGCACATTCATGTCCTGTGGGTTGTAGAATGGCTCCTCTTTGGATCCTGCTTGCTCTTGTGCATCCTGCAGCACAGTCTGATTAGTATTTGGGAAATTTGGAGGCACTACGTATTTGACTGGCTTGCAACAAAGTTTAGGTGGCTGATGTGAGTCTAGGGACCCAAAGTTTCCCAGCAAAACAAAGTGTACACCATACTGACTGTATGTGAGCATCAAGGTAGAAAAACATTCATCATATCAAAAGTTAGCAGTCACTACTGTGTATTTACTCTGCAATAGAACCTGCAATAAAACTTGAAGTCCCTTTTTAGTGATGAGTGGATGAGGTGATGGCTTTCTTCTGTGGCGACTTCTTCAAGTCAAAGAAAACAGACTTTTAAAAAGAAATCTGCACATGCCCGGCTGTTCTTTATAGTCTGCAAGTTCAACTGATTCTGAGTAGAGAAAAACTAAGACATATCTAAGAGATCTTTGTACACTTTTATGCATGCATGAAAAAGCTGGGAACAAGAAAGAAAAATAGCATTAATTTAACAGCCGTTTTTTCAGCGTATAGTGTTGTGTTTGTCATATCGGCACTAATAAATCAAAGAAAAGAAGTCTGCTTCTAAATCTCATGAACTGAACAAGAGAATCTCTCTTTAACAGGCATTACCGTGTACTGACAATAATAAGAAAATGTGCCTCATCCATCATTATCATCCTAAAACAAGCTTTTTGAGGCCGACCAGCAAAGAGACATGTAAAGGGAAAGATATCACTTATTGAGAAAATTTGTTAGTTTGTTGCCTGAGACTTAAGGTGTAGACCTCAAAGGGATTTAAAAAAAATTCTTATTCTTTACTAAACACACAAACCAAAATTACTGATGAGACTAATATGCATGACTCTGGCTCATCCACCATGGTGGATTAGAACGTCAGTTGCTTATCTGTGCCTATACCACAGTAGGACTAGGAGTAAGGGATATGATTATTATTAGTTAAATGAACAACATTTCTCTCAAACGTTAAATACGTTGGTTTGAAAACAGATCGTAGTTCTTTGCCCCTGTTGTCAGATCATCATGGAAAGGCTTCGAGAATAATGCCTTTATTACCAGTCTGATGTGATGCCATCTGGAGCTGGAGGTTTTTGAAGCCTCACCTTCCGGCCGCCACTGCCAAATTTTAGGTGTAGCTCTCATGGACTCATTCTACAGTAACTGCATAAACACATGAGTCAGCTGTGTGCTTTTCCCTTTCTTCCACAGAGGAGGAATCACGGTCACAGTTTGGATGCTTGTGTTGCTTGCACTTCAGGTATGTCGCGCAAGTGGTGGATAATGTAGCATTGAGCTGCCCATCTCCAGCGGAGACGGGAAGAACAGGCTGAAGAGGTCTTCCCAGAGTACTTCTCTTTAAATCCTCACTCACATTTTTTTTTTTAAATCAAATACATCTTTTGATTTAATTGATACTCATTCAAGTGACAACTCTTGCCGGTCTGGAGCTGGAAGGGATATTTTTCACACTCCCCAACTCCTGTAAGGAGACGCTGATGGAAGCTCGCCTTTAAAATACAACATCAGCTCAATGAAACATAATTCCAAAAAAAGGGTGCACTGTTAAATGTTGACTTTAGAAACATGTAATCTCACCTCAAGGTTCAATATGTACAGAAGCTATTCTGGAGCAACAAAAGCAACACTTTTTCCCCTCATGTTTAGATTAAATTTGAGTTGGAAATGTTACTCTTCACCTTGAAAGCAGGAGTTTATTTGAACGACTAAGGTATCCATGAGAAGAAGAAGAAAACACTCCAAAAAAGACTAAGACCTTGTGGTGAGATCGGAATAAAAAAAAGTTACATGAACTTATTTGCTCTTTGCTTCTTTGCAGAGGTCTCAAACCATGCTGAATTAGTACTAGTTCATTCCCAAAACTGTTGATTAGTCCTGACCTTAGCTTAGCTTAAACTTAGTGTCACTTCAAAGAAAATATTATTTCAGCACTAAAACCGCTGATATGTGATATCAGCATCTACAGCCTCACATTGATGCAACCATGCAGGTGATCACCTTTAAAAAGTCATTTCTCCTAACCACCCGATTGTCTCACAGGCTTCATAAAAGGCGTCCGCTGAATGAGAGGAAAAGAGAAGCACGAACTGATAAAAAAAAAAATGACAACATGAAGGCAAATAAACACAGCACAGTGCACAAAGATAGAAAATGTTTATGAAAACGATGCACAATACTGACATTCAGAGTTAATGCTGGCACCGTTGTGCATGTTACAGTTTGCTCGACCGTCAACTTGCTAAACAGAAGTAAGTCCAGTTAGTTTGCTTGAAAACTGTTCTTTGGTATTAAAAAACAAAACAAAACATGTTTTCTACCTGCACAGCACGGAAAATAAGATCACACGATTCTGTAATTTAACACAAACTATAAGGCAGCAGAGAGCAAAACACAAACATAGTGTCATCAAACGCTCACGATAATGCCAGACGATTTTCAAATCCTTAAAAATTACTCTAAAGTGCTTCACGAGCATCAATAGATTGTCTAAATAGGAAGCAACTATGTGGCTTCTAGTCAGAGAGGTTTACAGTTGATTGTCCGACATCGTGCTTTCAGATTACAGCAAGAGCGGCAAGCACATTCAAACGCATCACAGCGTGCTCACCGCTTCTATTGTCTACAGCAAAACGGAAAATCTCTCCGTTCCAGTGGAGCCACCCTGTGCTGCTGACCCTGTGTTTCCTGTTTTTCCTCAGTTAGACCACATATTAACCTGTTCGGTTATTTTAAATTTAATTGCGGCTATAATTTTACCACATTTCTATATATTTTGTTCTGAGTGAACAGCAGATGGCAGCAAAGTTGAACTAAATATCTAAAAGTATTTAGGACAGTCCATAGTGTCAAATATCCTTTGGTGTTATCCAAAAAAATAATAAAAAAATAGTTGTTGAGAGTAAACAGAGAGTTTGTTTTATAAAGTGATAGTAAAAAAACCTGCTTACATGACTGTTAAAAGACATGCCTGCATACATATTAAAATGTCTTTAGTACATATGCATAGTCAAATGAAAGCCTGCCTTGCAGTCACTGTTAATATGAGAACAGGCTTTTGTCAAATGTGACAAATGTGTCTGCTGCTACATTGATATGGCAGTTCTCAAAGTTAAAGTGCATCAAGTTAGTCAGTCATAATCCCAGTTAACTGCAGGGCCAGTTTCACGAGTAAGTTTGTAAAAAGTTAGCCTAATAGGCTCCAATGTTCTGATCATGGCTTGTTTGATTTACTTGCCTATTTACTCTTTAACCTATGTGTCCAATATATTATAACAGTTCACTCATCAAACCCACTGCAAACTTATTTGGTGCAGTTTTCCTTGCTTGACAAACTACCCCAAAGTAAACTACTAAAAGTAAACCAAAATTCTTTTTGCATAAGTAGCCTACAGTGTGTCTTCTTTGGCTAGTGCACACCCAGCACACCCACACATCTAACATCTACCTACAGTGTCATCATAAAAAGTAAGTAAACATCAGGAAGGTGCTTGTGCACATGTACAAAATGATAACAGGTTGAGGACGCTGCAACTAATGAACTCCTCGGCCTCTGGTTTAATGTTGAGGGTTAAATTTTTGCAGCTGAAAGTCTAGATTATCCTCTGCCTGATATGTTCCTGCAGCCAAAGCAGTAAAGGCTCTAAAGAGCTCGGCCCATCAGGCACAGCCTCTGTGTACATCTGCAGCAGTACTTCTTGTAAAACAAACAGCAGTGGCAAGCTCATGCTCAGTAGCTCATACAGCAACGTGTAGTCCTGTGCGTTGTCTCTCAGGTGGCCGGCAAAGGCCCGTGCCGCATGACACGCGCGCTGGGACAGATACCGGGGGGCGTTGCACACAGCACGAGTCACACTCAGAGGCCAGCTCAGCTGTTTCCTCATGAACGAGCTGAAGGTACCTGCTGCGGGTTCACTCTGCAGGTCTGCCGGACTGCTGGAGGGGGTGATATCTTCATCAGTAGGACGGTGCTCCTGAATGCTATCACGATTCTAAGAAGGAGGTGATGGGAGGAGAAGTTAGACACCTTGCATCCATCATTATCAGAGGAAGGTGGATAAATACGCACAGGTCTCACTGAGGGTAGAGAGAAAGTCCTCCGTATGCTCGTCCCATTGTTCCGCTGATCAAAATGCAGTTTGCAGTAGAGTTTCCCTGTAAGATCAAAGTGAAGGTCAAGATGAGCCATTTCAGTTATTCTGTGCCATGTAGGTAATATGTGGCTACGCCATTTGGAGAAGCATACCCTCTTCAGAGTGGAAAGCATGCGCTCCCTGTCGAAGAACAGAGCTGCAGGTCGAACAGCGGAAACACTCCCTGTGGAAGTAAAGCCCCTCGGTGCAGATCCTCTCCACCATATAAACACGCTTCTGACACGAGTGACACTTGTCACCCGACGGGGGAAACGCCCTTCGTACTGAGCCGCCCTGGGAAAACAGCAAAATCATACAAGTGAATTTTAGATCTGTCACTATAACTGACACACTGAGGCTGAGTCTCAGCTTCCTTTTCAATGATCCTGCCCTTATGTACTTACTTACTCATGTGTACCCACTGGTTGTAATAATTGATGATTATAATTACCTACCAGGAGTTGTTCCTTTATACTCTACTAGTGTAACTCTTGCTATAATATCTGGCTGTTATAACGGCATCCAATTTACATATTTTTCTCTCTGGCCTGCAGCGCTCCTTTTCCACCTCCAGCAGTTTCTTCCCAAGCTACAATGAAATACGTAAATGGATTAATCCTGTACCTTTCAGTAGAAAAGTCGGAAAAGGTAGCGTCAACACACAACAGTGACTGTGCAGATGACCAATTTTAGCTTTTCCGTTGTTTACGTTCCCTTATGCTAATTTGGATTGTAAAGTTGGGGCTGTTCTGACTTTCTAAACTGGACTTCCAACTTCCAACTATAAATGGTGCACACCATATTAACACTACAGGCCAGGAGTAAAACACATAAACTGGATATTTGGGGGGGTTGAAATGGGCTTTTTAAGTTGGAGACAGCTTTTTGGGGAAGGGTGGAGCAGAGAAACCCTAAGAGTGAAACCACAAGAGTACACACTTCTGTCCTCTGAGGACTGCCAGTAATTAAAAGCAAAGGGCAGAAACAGCAGTTCAAGCAAAGCTCTCATGCAAAGCACATGACAATAATAGAAATCTGAGGTTAAAGTACTTCTTTTTTTCTATTGAAACAAAGAATAAACACACTAGAAAACTAATGAACGATGGAGAGCACTGCAAACATGCCACAACTGTGTCCTAAAACACGTGCAAATGAGGACACTTTGAGGGGCAGGGAGCACAGAGACACACAGGATAGTGTGGGATCACACATCAAGCTGGAGATATTCACCTTAAGTACATCAGAACCGTTTCCTGGGAACAACCCGCTAAGGTGGACGGCTTTTTCCTTTATACTCTTTGCATGAAACTCTCTAACCTGTTGTGTCTGAGCTTTTTTCTGCAGGATGGCAAAAGAAAAGTCATCAGTTCATCCAACAACCCTTTTTGTGTGCGCAGGCAAAATTAGGCAGACTAATAAATGCTTAATAAGCACTGCGCACGTAAGTGATGACAGACCTTTCTATCGTCTTCTCAACGAGAAGCAGGATTCGACAGCTAAGTGTCTATTGTCAAGAGGAGAACAAAGACGTCGCAGTTTGAAAAGCCGCCCTATTATATTAATTTCACACCTGAGTTGATGTAATTACTCAAACTGTATGGGAACAGAAAACCGGGATAGTCACACAGTCCTGGCAGAGAAATGAGACTAGTATATGAGTTCAACCAAAGTCATGAATGAAAAGGACAATTACTCATTTTCAGATTAGACTAAAATAATGATGTAATTTATCTCAACATTAATAACACAGGCGTGGGTAAAATATCTGAAGCCAGCAGCTTAAAGGAACATTTTCACATAGCGGCTGACCTATATTTGAAAATACACATGTCCAAAGCAGTCAGATTGGACATTAAACAGTCTCTAATCAGTCAGTTCCATAGTGTAAAGTCTGTATGATGTCTGAACAAGAGGCGACACTTAAACCAATCAACATGTAAATAAGGAAAACGTCACACAGTTTCTGTGGCTGATTCTCTTGACATTAGTCAGAGTTTATGTGTTGAAATAGCGTCATTGTTTTTACAATCTCAAAATCAGAGGCGCATCAGTGGACCATTCATGTCAGTCTAGAGCTGGATCCAGGGGGTTAGCTTAGCTTAGCATAACAGTGGAATGAGGAAAAAACATCTCGTGAATTCATATCCTGTTTATTTATTTATATCGCGCCAATTCACATCAGTCGGCTGGAGAATCTCACATTATTGGAGAAAATCCCAACAATCAAGCAACTCCTCTATGAGCAAGCACTTTGCAACAGTGGGAACAAAAACCTCCCACAGAACAGCTGTAAGTTCTAATATCTTCCTGACTCTTGCTAAAGAAATAAATCAGAGATTGTGTCTGTTGGCAGTCCAACAAAAAAACAAACTAAGTTGCGTGTTTCTACCCCTGCGCTCACTGTTTATGCTAAGCTAAGTTAGCGATCTTCTGACTCCAGTCATGGACAGATTTGAGAGTGGTAATAATTTGATAGCTAGTTAGCAACAGTCTGATAGCTCTAAAAAATAAATAAATATGGATTTCAAAACTTTTGTAAGGGATCATAAAAAAGACTAAATTAAAGGCCAAAAACTTCCAACAACGCTAAATATAGCGTTAAATATGTAAGACTACTCTTGCAAATTTTTGTCAGGCTGGATAATAAAGGGGCTGACTTCACCATCAGACTGCATATTACACGAGCCTAAATGTATAATCAGAAAATGATATATAATCAACATTCACTCCTTGTTGAGAAACGCAACAATCACAGTGATTTAGAAAGAGGACAGAATGAAAAAACAGACAGAAAACAGGAGTTAAAGAAATAAAAGAAGAGGCACTGTTCACCTCAGAGATGTGTTCGTCCACCTCCTTGAGACGATGGAGGACTCTTGTCATGAAATGGACTGCTGACTGACAGGAGGAAGGAGAAACAGGGGGCTCTGCACCCTCCAGCTGAGGCTTCGTCTCAGCATGCGCTAGATTGACATGTCTGAGCTTTACTACAGAAAATGGATGTGGGGGCTGAAGCTGGGGTTTGGGCAGAGTCTTTGGAGGCAGGCGGACTAACTGTTGTGCTGCTTTTCTGATACTGACTCCAAACTGAAAGGGACAATGAACATGTGAGCTCTTATAACTCGTCACTAAGCAAACAAACAACGAATCCTTTGTTTTTGTGTGCATCCACTCAGAGATCAGATACTGTAAAAAGCCATACGGATGGTTTCAACCCATTAACTAAAAATAATCAGCCATTTTAAAGCACAGCACAAGTTTTCACATTGATTTCCTGCCCCCTTGGCAGACATTAGTCATGCTAGCACAGTATGAAAATCAGCCCGCATAGGTAATATATCAATATGGGCCTGTTTGCTTTATGTTTTCCCAGAGTTATGTAACCATCTCGTGGTCATGCATGTGTAAGAAGAACCTGTTTTTAAAGAAGATTTATTTGGGGGATGCTCAAGAATTGGAAAACCAGCCTGACATCTGAGACTGCAAGTCAGCAACCGAAGACTCAACGTGAATGAAAGAATTTATGACATTGCTGACTGTTGCTTTTTGCTGGTTTTTCAACAGCTCAGCTAATGAATGCAATGCTTTGACTTCAGCAGTGGCTGAATAGGACACAATGGGTTTTTTTTTAATCTCATTGGCTACGACTATTCGCAAACATAATAAGCAGCCATCTTGGAATGTAAGTAAATGTATGTGAAATTCCAAAAAATGTTCAAGTGACTTTAAAATTTTAAGTTTTTCTATCAAAGAGTTCTTGTTTGTCCACAAACTGCTTCATCCTGAGCCTGTTCAGTGACTATCTGTAATACAGGCGTGGATCTTATATTCATATAATGTGTGATTCTGAATATTTAAACATATATCAAATGTGAAAATTAAATAAAGCTTGAATTTAAAGCTAACTGCAAAGTAAGCATTGTTTACTTGATTTAAGTAACAAACAGATGTCTAATTGTGTATTTTAAATTTTGAGATTTCAGTTTTGTGCCAGCTTCACTGAGTGTGCGTGTGCAACATGTGATTGCAGTCAAGCATGAAGGCATTTAGCTGGTTTATGGAGTAAAATTAGGGACCGTGTCAGTCAGACCCAAAGAAAGCAAAACCACAAGTATGGCCTTTTAAAGATCCCCAAAAACCTCTGTTTTGGAAGAATTCTGCTAGAGCCTTATACAATAGTGGCATCTGTTACTAAAATCCACTACATGAAGTACATATATGCTGTAATTTTATAGGTTTTAAACACTTTTTTCAGATGCATTTGGTTTGTCTAATTTGTGCAGTTCTGGACTACCTGTGTCACAGGAGAAGGTTTGGGTGGGACCGGAGGTCTGAGTTTAACGGGCAGACCGTCAGTGAGGTCGAGAGTACGGAGGAATGAGGACTCCTCCAAGTCTGACTGTGATTTTGCAGAGGGTTAGTAAAAAGAACAGAAACAGAAACATATGAGTAGATTAAATACCAGCAGCAAAATCAGACAAGAGAAGATTTTGAGGCACTAGCAAAAAGGAAAGTTTTGTCAGATTAAAACCACAAGCCACTGTGAATCGAGCTCATAACTGGGGAAATTTAAATCATATTTATGATCCATGAAATAAAAAGAAAAATTCTATGGCGATTTTACCATTTCTGGACTGTTGTTTAGATAAATGTAGTGCATACAGTACTTAGTACTCAGGAAATAAAATAAAATCTACATACCATTGCGAGACATATTGGTGTATAGTTTCTACCTGTGTTTTGCGGATGGTGTAGTTCGGTTTATTTTCAAACTTGGCCAACAACTGCGTAGCCATAGAGCGCACTTTATTTTCCTTTGGATCCGGCCTGTCTCGAACTGTGGAGCCATTACTGGCCAAGTTAGTGGCCTAAAGAGAGACAGACAAAACTTACTGCATAAAAAAACCTGCAAAATGATCAACTATGCACTTGCAAAGTATATGCTAACAAACCTCCTCCAAATAGAACTTCCGCCTTCTTTTGTAAATGGGGTCTGTACCGTCTAGCTTCTTCTCTTCCTAAAAACAAAGAGCAAGGAAAAAAATCGGAATATGTGACAGTCATGATTAATCAATAACAAGTGGGAATAAAGCAAACCGAAGGAACAAACAGAAAAACTTGCACTTCTGCGCAGAGTTACCTTTGGCACCCGTTTCCTGGTCAGTGCAAAATTGAGCACATTATTATTACTTTTGACTTCCTTCGACGGATAATCTTCATTGTTTTCATCCACTCCTCTGGAACCTGCAGAATAACACATGACTGCATTAACAGCTTCACATTTTTCAACCGTGAACAGCCAGTAACGTCACATTATTGTGAAATTCCCTTACAGATCACAGAATATGTAAGAGTGGTTTGGGAGAAAAGAGGACACCCCCTTTCATTTCCCTGAAACAGTGAAGCTGAAGTAAGAAGTTGGGGGTTAAATATTCCAAAAGAGTTAAGGCAGAAATTTTAAAAGCACTTCTGTTGAGACAGACAGCTGTATGCTGTTGAGAATCTCAGACTTGTGCAACCTCGCAGTGCTGGTGCAGATACACATTCCTCTCATACCATTACACTTGATTAATAGGATGGAACAACATGCGAATTTTTTCACAGAAAATCCAAAGAAATGTAAGACCTTCAACACCGATGGAATTTGGTGTAAAAGATAAGGAATAAAAACAAAACAGAGGGAGAAATATTATGAATACCAGGCTTCAGTGGCTATAACTAACAACACAGAATAATAGAGCAGGGCACCTGATGCAGGTAGAGGCGTTCCGCGGAAGAGCTCGTAGAACTTGGACAGGTAGTTGATCATCTTGGTTTTATCCAGCTCCTCCTCTTTACTCAGCTCCTTCGCAGATGTGAATGGACGAATCCCAAATTCCCGCTCACTGATGTCAAATGCCAGCTGGAGGTTTGCAACGTGGTCCTCGTCGTTTAATGAGTCAAAATCTCTGATGGAGGCAAAAACAGTCACACTGAGTATTAAATAGTATAAATATATTATGTGTTTTTATTGTAATTTAACACAAGTGGTCAGAGTTTTTTGACTGTTTTGCTTTTGTCTGGTACTGGTTTACAATTTCCCAAATCACTCCTCAACAAACACATAAAAACTTGTTTTTAAAATATGGGTATTACGTTGACTTACAGTCAGTGGCCACTTCATTAGGTACATCTGTTTAACTGCTTGGTAATCAAGATAGGCAGCCAATCACACGACTAAATTTAGACACAGCCAAAATGACCTGATGAAGTTCTAACTAGGAATCATATTATGGACACAAGATGATTTAAGTGACTTTAAATGTGGGATGATCTGAGTAATTTAGAAACCGTTTTGGGATTTTCCCAAAAAAATCCCATCTCTATGGTTTACAGAGAATGGCCTGAAAAGAGAAAATTTGTGAAAATAACTTGTTGACACTGGAGGAAAATGGTCAGAATACTGATCTGAGCTAACAGAAGGCCAACAGTAACTCAAAATAAGCACTTGTTATAACAAAGGTATGCAGAAGAGCATCCCTGAATGCACATGAAGCAGATGACCACAATAGGTGCTTACTCCTGTCATCTAAGAACAGGAAACTGAGGCTCCAACTCACATGGGCTCACCAAAATATTATTATATTATTTAAGATGCACTGCGGACATGTGTGGTGTGTAAGTGACATTCTTTAAGGGAACTGTACATTTCATGTGACTGACAATGACTACATGTGCAAAGGAATGACGTCACTCAGAAACACATTTTTATTTCCAACACAGCCAAAGAACCGCTTTCCTCAAATGCAGGAGAAAATAGCAGCCAGTAGCCTCTAATGGGGGAAACGGCATCTTTATGTCGTCACCTAAGTGGACAGTGTGCAGACGACTTCAGAAGTAATGAAGTAATGTAAAGACAAGAGCGGTAACCTAGCAGCAGAGCACACAAACTCTGGCATTATTCGCTAAGTGCTCAGGCTCACTTTTTTCTGCCTTTCTCTTCTGTGAACCTGCTCTGTCTGCTGTCTGCTCTGCTGACAGTCATGCATATGGAAAAGAGGAAAGGGGAAAAATGCCAGTGGTTCCTGGAAACTTACAGGACCAGATGAAATTGTGGTGGCATGTGGCAAGGTATGAAGGCACTAATTAAGGGGTTAGAGGATAAAATTAGAGTTACTAAATCCATGCTGTGAGAAGCAGTCTGATCTGAAACGTGGCAAAGAATGAAAGTATGGCTTTTGTTCTTTGTTCTTGATTAGCTGTTTTTCTCCACAGCTCTGAATCAATAGAGAGAAAAACTTGGGTTTTTTTTAGAATTAAATACAAGTCAATAGTAATTCTGTTGGACACACATTGCTATGGGTACTGGAGCAGCTAGTATTTATTTAATTTGGCTTGACATGTATGAAATTTACACAGCTGCACACTCCTGTGAGCACCCAGCTAGTTCGGGGACAGCTGTGCATGAAGTATTTTTTACCCATCTATCAGCACAAGTTTTAAGGAGGTAGAGAGCAGATCAGATAAACACACATATAGATCAGTGCCCTTCATTGCATACCAAGCATATTTAGCATTCCATTTTAAGATGTGAATTTCCTCACAACTAGTTGTTTTTGAAGAGCTCATGGAGTTCATCTTCTCAGGAAAACAGATAACGCTCATGTGAATACATGCATGCTACGACTATGTTAACGCAACTGGTTTGGGATCAGTTTGTGGCTCTGCAGGTTGATATTATCTGACAGTTGATACGTACATCAGCTGAGGCTTGAATCTGTGGATGAGGGCACAGAGGGCGATACCATTTTTCCAAGAAGACGCCAGGTCTGTGATTATCACATTCCTGTAGCCCTCCGTCTGCTTCTGGCACCAAGTGAGAAGCCTCGCTGGTCTGACCTCTGAGTCTGCCACAGAAGCACAAAAAAGACGATTTTTTAAAATGATCAAATTCTTAAAAAGCAGTGAAAAGAAGGCAGGCTGTGTTAGAAGAAAGTTTCGGTGGTTATGATGTCAGATATGATGTCACGACGACAAACCAACAAATAGTGTGCTGTTACATAAAGTGGCAAGAAGATGTTTAGAGTGGGTGCTGGGGTTTGTACACAAACCTGTAGAAACAAGTACGTGCTTGCTCATAAGAGCGAAGGACTGACTAAAGTGGCTTTACTCAAACACGCAGAGTAGCGCGAGAATAATCAGACTAAACAGAATATAACAGAATTCTGGCACCAATGTTTACTTTTCGCTTCGGGTTTCAAAATTTTGTCATTGATTTTTTTTTTTAAATGTTTAAACGCAGGGTTATTTTATGGACGTGACACTGAGTTTTGTTGATATTGGAGAGGGATGTATGTGTGTTTGACTGTTTCTTTCATAGTTTCCTCTCTTCAATGAACCCACATGTAAAAACAAACCTCATATCGTGACTTATTCCCTAAACTGAAGTTAATTCTGGCGACTTACTACTTCTGTTAGAAGGGAAGGAACTGAATGGGGGAGATTTAGGCTACAATGATTGCATTAGGAGCCTTTGAAAGGAGAAGAAACCCTATTAGTTATAGTATTAGTGAATAACCGTAGATGACTCAGTGGCATTCAATTCCTTTAACCCTTACCACGTCTGGAGAGATTAACAGGCCGTCGTATGGTAGCGGCACGCTCGAGAGAGCAGGGGTTAAGCTGTCCGCTAATGTACAAATGACGCACCTGAAACAGAAAGGCAAAGAAAAAGCTGTTGGAACTGAGATATTAGTATTAGTATTTAAATGATCCATTGACAGATTTGCTGACATCTCACCTGGTGAGGCCTGATACAGGTAGAGTTGAGGTTGGGGTATCGAGTTGCTGGGTCTAGGGTGTACTGCTCAAAGTTTTTGGCAATGTTTTCAGGGGTTGTCTGTGGTAGTAGTCGGTAAATGCTCTCCCTGTACCAAGACAAGAGGCATTACTGCATCACTTTAATGCCAGTGTGTCAAACCTAAGGCCCGGGGGCAAGGATCAGTCCCCTTCAAGAAGGCCAACGGGACAGTTTTGGAAAATGTGAAGGAGGATATAAACTTTTAACTGTATTTTCATAGTTTTATAGCTTTTCCTGCTGATAAAGACCGAAGTAAGTAAGTAATAGATAAACATTTAAATAACAACATTTTTCACTTGGTTCAAAAATAATTAACAGAAATATTCCATTTTATAATTACAGGAAACTCAACACAATGAGCTAGCAGAGTTTTTTTCTGTAATGTTACACACAAATGAATAAATAAATAAATGAATAAATAAATAACAATAATGCATATTATTATTAAGCCCAAAGCATTTCTTTATCATGTAGAAAAACTGACATGTACTGCTAAAGTTGCACTTCTTATATTAAAATATTAAATTAATTAAGTTAAATTAAATGTGTAGTTAAATGTCTTTACACTGAGAGAAAGGTGAGTTTCACTGCTCCGGCCCACTAAAGATCAAAGTGGGCTGTTTGTGGCCCACAACGTAAAATGAGTTTGACATGCTGATTATGTGAACAATGTGTTTGAGTAGCACAGATTTATAGGAGGCGCTCACTAATGCCCAACATAAAGTGTGGGTACCTCTCTGCCAGCACTTCGAGGACCGGCTGACCCTGCGCCCAGCTCTTTACCATCCAGGCCGTGTCGAAGGCAGCCAGGAAGCCTCTGGCGCAGCCTGTTCCCATTGGCCAGAAGGGCTACACAGCAACACACAACAAGTTTGCCAGTTATTGTTAGAGGCATCGTGCCGTGGCTTTTAGTCTGTTTGACATACTTCTTCTCTTGGTCATCGGGGGATATACAAAAAAAGGAGACAAGCTTTTTGGATTCCAGGTCATAGAAGTTGAAATAATGGAAAAATAAAGTCATGCTTAAGCAAACTGCAAACATGAAGTGTTAGGGGGTGATTATGTTTTCTGAGTGCAGATTTCCTTTTACAGAGAGACTGCTTACACAATAAAAAATAAAAGTGATGGGAAACCAAAGAAATGAGAAAAATGTGGCTCCATTAGAGAAAAGTTTGGTCTTGTCTGGAATTTGGGATGTCTTTAGTATTTCTGTTGTTGTTATGTTTTACCCTGTCATGTCACATACCAAAGCATTGACTATCCAAGTTTGAATATCTTACACACTTTCCTAAAAAAGCTCAGGTTGCCCATGTCTCTAAATAGATTCCTGAAATGTCCCTGTGTGCTTCTGGACCACCACCATTGTCTCAGAGCACAAAAATTCTGCTCCCTTAGTGATTCCAGACAACATCACCATCAAGTTTGAGACAGAGCAAACTGTAAACGACCGCTTTCTACCGGTCTTCTGCCCACAGCAATTGGATAGAGGAATTTAAATATCCATGCCATGAATGCCGGATTCTGCTACTTGCTGTCTTACCTCAAGCAGACTGTCGCCAACCAGTGCTACCAGCAACTGGTGTCCAAATCTCTCCCTGACCAGAGCAGCGTTCTCAGAGGCGTACATGTTAGTGAAGTCAAACATTGCTACATCTGGCTGCCCGCAATGGTTCATGGCAAAGTCCAGTGTGGGAAGTTGGTAGTTTGTGCCAAAGTCAGCAGCCTCTCGGGCGTAGCACAAAAGAGCTTCCTGGTTGACGTTTTCACCACTCAGCAGCATCTCTGTGTCTGAGTAATCCTGTCGGACCGAAGCAGTCAGAACAACCACAATGAATTTGTGTGCAAAAGCGAAACAAAAGCTCTCTGTTTATGAAAGAAATCAACGGAAGACAGTGAATAAAGAAAAGTAAGTAAGAAAAACTGATGAGCACAGATTTATAAATGATAAAATCAAATCGTTCTGAATCGAAATCTCTGAAGCATCAAGTTCTGCCAACATCTGTCTGCATCTGTTAGCGGTTATGGTTCTCCTGAAGCCAGTGCTTAGGGCTAAACAAATTACAATACAATGAATTTAACACATGACCGACACAGTCTTAGAAATAAACAAAAGATTTGACGATTTCAAATTTAATTCTTGGAATAAGAAACCTGAACTGTAAATTGTCTGTAATATTCTTTATTTTTAAAATATAAGATAAATAACAATAATAAATAAAAAAAAACAGACAGCATGAAATAAGATTACAGCAGATCTGTGGAGCTAGTGTATTTTGCTCACGTTGATGACGACTCCCTTGTCCAGCAGGCTTTGTTTCTTGGCAGTCATGACAAAGTAATGTGTGTTGTCCTTGTAGTACACAATGTTCTCCAGATCAATACCTGTGACAAATGACAAGTTTGCGTTACGGCTACAATTCATAAAAATCACCAACAAGCTTTTTCCACAGAGATGAAAGCTTGAACTCGCTTTTGTATGCTGAAAGGGGTTTAAATAAATGGTTTCTTCACACATCAGTGTCTCTTTCTGATGAACAGACTTCTTATTTTTTATTGCTGGAGGCTCAGAATGATCCCAGTGAAAATAATGAAAACAGTCGCTGCACAACATTCTTGATATTTCTTCAGGTATTGAGAACACTGTGCAAAATATCCCTGAAACTTTTAGTGAATTTGAAGATTTTAGATCTGATTTTTGCTGCATTTGGTCTGTAGTGACTTAGTGGTCTCACAGAGAAGTTTAATCTAAACAGCTTGGTTTTCATCTAACAGATAATTGTGGCTGATCCTGTTGGATCCATTATTATGTGTGATATTTAAGACTCATCCACTGTTGAAAAAAAATTGAAATGCAAAAATTGGATGATGTAACATGCATTTTCTTTAATTGCATGTGTTTCATCAAATATTTAACATGCTTTTAAAGTGTCAAACTGTAGCAGTTTGACAACCACCGTTCTCCTGCCAAATCCAGAATCATCCATCTGATTACCAGACAGAGAAGTGGGATTTGCAGCTCCAGAGAACACGTCTCCACTGCTGTCCAGTGGCAGCAGGCTTTACACCACAGCAACCGCCACTCTGCATTGTGTTTGGTAACGTAAGGCTTGGATGCAGCTGCTCAGCCATGAAAACCCATTCCATGAAGCTCTGTAGGCACTGTTCTAGAGGTAATCTGAAGCCCACATGAAGTTTGTAGGTCTGCAGAAAGTCGGTAACCTCTGTTGACCCTACTCTGTGAGTTCATAACTGATTTGCTGTCGTTCTCAATCACTTCCACTTTGTTACAATACCACTAACAGTTGACTTATATTTAGTAACGAATTCCTCACTAAATTCACTGAATTCACGGAGCTGCAGGTGTAGGTGCTTGATTTTATCCACCTGTGACCATGGAAGTGATCGGAACAGCTGAATTCAATGATTTGGATGTGTGAGTGAAAACTATAACAACATAGTGTATCACCCAGTTTGTAATCTTACTATAATACACTAAATCTCCTTCTGTCTGTTTGCTTGCCCACAGACTCCTCCTACACTATCAGGAGTCGAGCAACCAAAATTGGCACACAGGTACATCTTAGGCGCCTGAGGGCTTTTCTCTATGTCACATATCATGATGTCATCATGTTGCCTAGCAACCATCTACCAACAAAATGACTCATTTGTTGTGTTAATGCACCTATAACACCTTGTGAAAGCATAACATTGTTTTTATTTCACAATCGTAACATCACAAAATCAACACAAAAATTTCAATATGGATGATATGACATCTTTACGTTACCTAGCAACTACCCACCAAGGGGATAAAAATCATATACCAAACAACAATAAAGCATTGGTGATACTGGACTCAAGACAATTCAGCATGAGATACTGACTAACTAGGCATTTATTCAAATTTAAGCCTCTGAAATTGCCAGGTTTAATGAGTCTATTTGCACTCCCTTCCCACCTGTCTCTTCTTTGAGGTCAAGAAAGAACTTCTGGTTGAAGATGAAAGCCACTCCACTGATCTCTTCTACTTTGGCCTCTGCAGTGGTGTTCCTGTTGATGAAGTTGGCTGTGATGGCGATTGCCAGTTTACCCCTGAACTCCTTCCTTTTGAAACCTGGGAGAATGGAAAAAATAAAGACGGAAGAGAGAAAGAAATGGGGATGTTAATCTTCACAAGCAAACAAAGGCCTATCATCCTTTCCAGAGGAAATCTAGCAGTAAACCACAACTGCAAGGAAGTCATTTTAGGATAAGAGGCAGCTTGCCAAGGTGATTCTTTTTAGCGACAAGGAAACAAAAAGCTATGTGTTGTAAAAAGCCCGAAGAAGTAAACTGCCAAACGTATCATCAAATTAGCCTTCAGAACCAAAAGTATGTGGCATTCTTTCATTTTATTAACAATGTATTCAAGGTGTAAGAATTCAAGTTCAAAAATAGTTTTAAAAGTATCTTTGTGGAATCTAATTAAATCTTTTAAATACAAAAGTAGCAGAATAGCTCTGCTGATGACTGCCAATGTCAGATCTTTTGAACAGAAATGGACACAGGAAACAAAAAAAAATAAAAACATCATGCATTCTTCAGTCCCATAACCAAAATAACTCAAATTAAGGTTCAACATTTTACTGGCAAATCAAACTATTTTCTTTTCCAACCTGTAAATGAAAGACTCCCAACTATGAGTGTGTGAAGGCTACGAGGAAGGGGGGAAATCAAGTGGTTCCATATAACAAAGTGATGTGTGCAATAGTGACGGTACAGAAGTGATGCTCTGAGCATGTGCTGCAGCCTCTCCGCACTGTCACTGTTAAATGTCATCCGTCACTTCACTGCTCGTTTCCAAAACCAGCAACAACAAACGGAGAGCATTTTGCTCTATGTTACCGTAGCTAAGACACAAAAGCAAGCTCACTGCAGGGAAAAATTATTTCCCCCAGGAGTCTTCATAATTGGGGAATGAGCTAAACGTTTTGTTCTGCCCCAGAATGCCCTTTTTAGGAATAAGCATTTGTTGCGATTTGGTCGTTAGATGACAGCATTTTTAAAAGAGAGGAGACGGATGGAGATGGGATGATGGAACCGATCCAGGGGGAAAGCATCAGCTGCTGCGCTGAGCCCCAGCTCTGCTCTATTTATGTACAGAGCTTTGGCTGTTTTGTGTGCAGCCGGTCCCACTGGGAGAGATCAATGGCTCCGTGCAAGTGCAAGTTTGCAAAAGGTGGGTTTCATTTATAGCATTGTAATAACGTGCCTCAAGTTTATTTAAAGTGAGAGCCCAGAAAAAGTCTGGAGGAATGTAAGGGCTGTAAAGTGCACAATAGGTCTGCTATTAAACTATTTTTGAGCAATTTCTTAGTCGCAACAGGTTCATCAGGTCTAAAAGTACAGTACATCCTTGAGGCATCTATACTCTTCATCACTTTTGTTTGCCGTCTTCTCACCTTCCAGGGTATTTCTGCGTCCGTCAGCTCCCACCACCACATCAAACTCAAAGTTAGCCACGGGGTGATCAGCAGGTTGGATTGCAGCCCTCCACCCAACCCCTGAAAGACAGAGTAAAACTGAGAGGGCCGAAAAGCCACATAATATAAATCCTAGGACAACAGCCTTTCATTCCTATTTGAATATTCCACCACAGAACAATAACACATGCCATGGGGAATGTTACATGATAAGAACACCTTTTCTTCCTGGATCACTCCGCCGCCTGCCATGCTTGTGCAACTCTAAAGTCATCAGCATAGAGTGAACAAAAGGAGAAATAGAGCTTTATGATGAGCAGGAAAGTAAGAGACTCAAAGCATAAGGTCAACTGCATCTGGCCTGCAGACCATCAGCATAATTAAAGTCTGAAGTACTCTTTCAACTTTATTATGACCCATTTTAAGCGTGCAAGTGGGAGCTACAGAAGTGTGAGACCAGCACAGGAACAGCTTGGCAAGTTGTGCAATATCATCATGTGGAAAATGCATTCCATGATGTCAAAGGCACGGCTAAGTCCGTCGCAGCAAAGCACAGAACACAAGTTTGTGTCTAAATTTAGGCCAGGCTCTTCTTGTTATCACTGCATTGATATTACAGCTGGAGGAACAGCACAATAGCATGTTCGCTATTTTCTTCTTCAGAGCTTATAGGGAAATGCAGGATGTGAGGGTCAAGTAGTCATTTACGAAGCAGCGCTCAGTTAATGCCATTAAGTTGGGGAAAAAAAAGGAAAGTGACACTTTTATTCTCACTGCTTTCTAATACATGAAGTCCTCCTGTATCAGATATGCATTTGAGCAAAATAACCGTTGCTGACCTCATCCAAATATGATAGCAAAGTACTTCAATGCCAATGTTTATCTCGTGTTTACCGGTGGCTGTCAAGGAAATTAAATACTGCAGGATGAAAAGTCTTTCGCTGTCTAACCAGCCTTGAATATGAGCAGAAGCTGCAGAGCAGGAGGATTACTACAAATCCTCCAGGAAGCTCCACAGTATAGATCTCTAAAGAAACGTCTTCATTGAGCTTAACACATTGTTAAAAATCTCAACTTCATCTTATTAAAACACCAAGCTGTACAATTTCAGCCTTTTAAATCTCCCCAAATCTTGCGGCTAATAAACAAACTGTCAGCGAGTGAAGACAAACTCGCTGTTAATCTGTTGTTTGGACATGAAACCGACCTTCATTTTCCTGAGGTTCCAACAGGTTGACAAACTCCACATTGATGTGAAACTCCACGGCAACAATCAGGGCAACCTTCAGCAGGATCAACTGCAGTTGCTGAATGCCTGCAAGACAGATTCAGATTAATGTTTGGACACAGATGTAAGCCTGCCAGTTTTTACACCATCTTGAGAGGAAACAGCTCATTGTTTGAAAATTTGAAAGCTTTATACAAAAGGAACGTTGAGATCATGGATTGCTTCTTTTGTACAAATGAGTTTTATACAAATGATTAAAATTAAAGATGCACCGACTGACTGACCAGCGGCCACCGGCCAATCAGACTCACGTGTCCCTTTTATGCATGCACAACACACATGCAGTGGTGAGGAAAACACCCAAAGTAAACTGCGAGGTGACCACAGACTCTTACAGACTCTTGAATCACCCTCTCCCGGCTGAACACGGACATTTTAAAAAAAGAGAACAAAGGGAAAGCTCAGAGCAAGCCACGAGCTAGCAGCCTCGGTATGAACAAAGAACCAAAGCAGTTATGAGGAAGATTTATGGAGACAAGTGAAACTAGAAACTAATATAATTACCCAACATTAGTTTTATTACATAAATCTGCTGCACCTGCTTTTATTCAGTAAGGTAAAATATATTAGCTAAAGGTGGGTGTACAGCAGCTAATTTTCAGTTAATTATCCGTATATATAAAAAATTTATTTAACTGAACTAAATTGAGTTGAAAAACCTAAACCCTGAAGCACAAAAGGTTATTTTTTTGTCCTTTTTTTCCCCAAATACTGCAGTTTCTGTGCTTATCTTTCTAGAAAATGAACAGACTGTTACTGCTGCTTTCAGTACAACTGAATGAGCTGAATCAAAACATTTAGTGCCCAGTGGACAGAAAAGGTAAAAAAGATGAGCCCTCAACGACACACATTTAAAAAGGTTCTATCTGTCCAACAGGTCTTTTTTGTCACTTTGTTTTTATTTGTTTTGCCAAACTTATCAGAGATGCAGGCTTTTAAACTGAGCTCAGGTAACAACCCAGGTGGTTCCTCTACTTTATAGTCCAAATGATGCAATTTCCATGTTTTCCAAAAAGAATTGTAAATTTTGATTCATCTGACAACAGATCAGTTTTTTAGTCCTTAAATGAGCTTTGGCTCAGAGAAGCCTGTCTGGATCATGTTCACACGGCTTCTTCTTTGTATGATTCCTGAAAGTGTTCCTGAACCCATGCAGTGATTTCCATGACAGAATCCTGCCTGTTTTCTAATGCGCTGCCACCTGAGGACCTGAAGATCACAGGCATACTAGTTTTCACAGGCATCCAGTACCCTTGTGCACAGAAATTTCTCCAGACTCTTGGTAATATTATGTATGTACAGCACCTTAATGTCAAATTTTTTGCAGCATAAAGCACTTTAAGGTTGGAGTTAATAATTTGTGACAACAGGTCAAAGAAAAGCAAAGGCCGGTGTAGTTTCAGATACTCACTGATGTGGTCGATGGCTCCGGCACAGAATTTTCCATAGAACTTTTTGGCCCCCAGTCCCCGCAGGTCATGAATGGTATAGGGCCAAAGATGGAGCACGTTGTTCCTGGAAAAAGAGTCCCTCTTTTCAATCACCACCACTTTAGCACCCAGTAGGGCAAGTTCAATGGCAGTCCGCAGGCCGCAGGGACCTCCTCCGATGATGAGGCACTAAATAAGAGGGAATGACAAATTGACCTCATTAGCAACACAAAGAACCAAGCAAAAATCTCAGTCTTTGTACAATATTAATAGCAGAAGGCTGAGAGTTTTCCTGCAGAGTCCCAGATGAAAAATAGTTCACAGCCAACTTGTTTATAACATGCCTAGAAGCATTATGACATCTGCATAGATCACGATAGAGAGTACCATTTCACTGCACCACTGGACCATTTAGAGGCTGAGTGTCTTACTTAAAGACCCTAAAGGAAGACTGGCATTGACTCAGAGAATTATTGTGTCTTAGGATAACTTCCCCAGACCACCCGGTGTGCGTGAGGATTGTTAATAAAACACATTAAACGTGAGAGAGACAGATTACGGGTGCCCAAAGTGGTGCATTTGTCAGGAACTTCCCAAAAATGGATATTTGCGAACAACTTCCACCCACCTAAACCAACCTTTGCATATCTATCTCGTTATTCACGCACCAGCCTCTCCCAAAAATGCATGAAGTCAGTTCACTGAGGCTACTGCGTGTGTCTGAGAATGTGCGGTTTAAACATGACATCATTCCTTGAGTGATAGATGAAAGAAGTGACGCATGTGTGCTGGCAAACTCTCCTTTCCTTATGAGCACATTAAGAGGCTTTACAGAGAACTGTGCAGAGAGAAGATGTGTCTCAATTCTTTTGAGATTTAATCCAGAGGCAAGCTCCGACTCCTGCTGGGTGCAACAAGGCGGACTGTCTCCTGTCTCAATAGCCTCACCACATTTTAAATGCTGAAAATATCTTTTCTTTCACTTTTCTTGGAAGGTTTGCCACTTATCCAACACAAAGATCTATAGCAGCTCACTCCCTGCCATCCTGAGTCTCCAACAACTACACGACCAGAAAGAGTGAGGAGGGTTAATATGTATCAGCTCTGTGAGACAATCCGACATCATGACCTAATCGACTTCTTTCCCTGCGCCAAAAACAAGCAGCTGGGTTTTCATCACTCAGCACTGTCTCTCGCATTGAGCAGCTGAGCACCAGGTGTGATGAAGAACACAATGTTGAACCATGAGTTGCCCGAGGTTATAAAAATGAGGTATTCTCAGGTGTGGAGCACAAACAGGTGGTGGAAGCATTGCCTGGACAAGCCTACTGGCAAGGTTTGTTTTCCTCAACAAAGAGGAAGTTAAGCGAACCAGCTATTTTCACAGCCAGACCGAAATCGAGGATGCTAAAAAAAAAAAAAAGTAAAAATTAAAATAAAAAAACCAAAAAAAAACCCACGATGTCGCAGCAGAGCAGCGCTAAATCGGTTTGTTCAGATGTGTCGTCACAGTGTGTCCAATTTTCCTAAACTCACATCACCGCTTTGATCTCTCCAGCAATAATTAGCAAAGATGTCCCCTTTGTTTGACCACTTTTCCATTCGCTCATATATTTTTCCAGATATGAGGTTTTTCCTGAGGGCCAGCTCCACATCTGCCGAGTCAGGACAAACGCTTCCTTTCAGCTGCCCACCTGTGACCTCATTCTCATCCCAGCCCTGACATCTGTCTCCTGCCTTATCACCGAGCCCAGTTAGTCTGGTGATAAACTCACAGTTTGGTGTGAACGCACAGCATAGCCAAGAGGCCTCTGCTCTGTCATCGGGAGAGAATCAGGAGGTTATTTATTCATCTTCACATTATATTGTCAACTCATTTTTATAGGATCAAAACAGTAGAAAATAGCAATCAGAGCAAAAGTTAGTGTTTTCATTTTGTGCATTTTGCAAAACTCAATTCACGTCATCATCATATTTAACCTCCAGAGACTTGACCTCTCATTAGGTATTTTTTTCATTTCGATCTGCGATTGTTTGGAACTGATAAGTAAAAACTAAGAATTTCTTTTATACACAAAGTATTATGTCCTCATATGGGGACAATAGGCTTATTTTACAGCATAACACAATAAAGTCACTATTGTTTACAAAGCCTCAAACACTTTATTGAGCAGTACAAAAGATGAGGTGCCAAAAAGGCTAATCTTGATATATGAGGATACAGGACTCAGGAGGTTAAGGAAACAGAGCAAACATTTACATTTCTAAGATAAAGCAACTTCCAGCTGCTCCATCACTCACAGTGGCTCACCACAACAGATAGTGACAAATGTTTGACTTGACAGATTTTTTTTTTCTTTTTAATGCAACCCCAAAGGGATCTGTGTCTCCTCCTGGGGATCTTTCACTCCTTAGGCAAATCTGTAACCCACTACACTACGGAGCCACCAGCATTTTGAGACATCTGCATCATCAGTGCAAGTTCTTTTCCCCAAACCCTTGAAAATTGCACAATACATTTTAACTAATAATTCTTGAGCTATAAGTTGCAAAAAAACAAAAACAAAAGCCAAATATATAAAAAATTATAGAAACGAAAACTCAAAAATAAAACTGATTTTTTTTATTTGTCAGTTAAAACGGGAAAAAACATAATTTTTTGGCAATTATCTCATAGTTTAGTTTTTATAGGGTTAAAACCAGCCACACAATTTTTGCATATTGAAATGAATGATCTCTTAAGGTAAACCCACACAAACAAACCCTGGACCGTTACGCTGCATTACCGCTCTTACTGGTAAGGCTGTTTGGTCTGACCACAACATGCCAAAAGATTTACAGTTGCTCCTTTTATTAGGGGAAAAGCAGATTAGCGACAGTCACCTGAAGATAATACAGGCACGCGTTGGAGTTTTGGACCTCTAGCAGCATTTTAGATTTTGTGACTTTTTAGTGTCACAGTCACAGAGGAATTTTGTATTGCTGTTGTCCATCTGACCATCCCTTTATTGGGAGCATGATTTCTAACAAACAAGATTGAAGGCTTTTGTTTGTTTATTTTAAATGTGGCACAAACATTTACTTAGACTCGAGCATTAACTAATTTGATTTTGTTGGTCAAAATTTATGGTCAATTTGACCTCTCAAAGTGCAATAATTCCCATGCTCATGACAAAATACCACACTAATGCATACAGGTAATAACATAAAACAAGGAAGCATAAAGGGAGATGATTATAAAGTGCAATTTGACTGTTTGAAGCAGACATACAAAAGGGAGGCGGTGACTCTGGTTTTGTTTATTTTCCTGCGTGCGCTCACAGACAATGCAAAACTCATGTAAAAGAAACATGTAAAGGTTTCCAGGTGATTTCTCTGATGTGCAGGTGATGCTAATGCGCTGGCAGAGTCATGCAGGCTCATGTATACGCACAATGCAGTTTGGAACGTAAAACTGGAACTGAAGAGAAGCTACAAGAAAAACTCCTATATGTGTTTAAATCAGGTGTAATTATAAAAAAAGATCTGTGAGGTGCACTGAAAATGTCTTTGTCTATATTAGGGTGTCAAACTTGAGGCCCGGGGGCCCGAATTGGCCTGCCGAAGACTACAATCTGGCCCACTGGACAGCATTGGAAAATGTGAAGAAGGGCATGAATTTTGGACTTTTAACAGTATTTTCATAAGTTGTACAGCTTTTCCTGCTGATAACAACCTCCTGCACAGCCATTCATACTGCACCAAAGTAGTTAAGTAACAGATAAACAATTGCTTTGGTCTACAACTACATTGATTCGACAGTTTAAAATACGATGAGCTACCAGAACTTCTTACCCTTTAAGTTAGGCTGACATATTTCATTTACCACAGCTGGATTTCTTTAGCATGTAGATAAACTGAGTCATAAAGTTGAAACTGCACTTCTTTTTCTTATATTGAGATATCACAAGGATTAAATGTGTACTTAAATTTCTTGACAATGACAGAAAATGGAGTTTTGCTGATCTGGCCAACTTAAGATCACAGTGAGCCGTATGCAGCCCACGATGTAAAATGACTTTGACATCACTCGTCTTTTTTATGAAAAGATTCATTCTGTTGTAGGCAGTAAAACTTCACGAAAAAGACACAAGCTACAGCCACATGTCACCTCAGCCAGCTGTGTCCGGTAATAAAACCCAGATGACATTACATCCTTTTAAAAAAAGTTACTGCTACAGCAGCAATAAGAAGACGAAGAGGTGCTGAGTGATATCACATCTGTCAGTGTTAAAGAGCTGCGCTGTCATAAAAATGACTCGTTACCTCGCGGTTCTCAGAGGAGACGCTTTTAATCACGTAACGGCAGACCGCCTGGCCATGAGTAATTAAAACATTGTGCAAGTGTACCTGGCTCATTAAATCTCTGGCATTTGCACAATCACAAATTCACTACGCACCACTCACTGGCTAAGCGTCTACATTTTATAACACAACTCTGTGGATTGTCAGAATTCACAGCTTTGGCTCAGAAGTTTAAGGGTCACACTTTCTTCAAAAAATATTTTTTCCTTCTTATTACCTGTTTGGGCGCCGGCTTAAATCAGGCAGAACGAGTAAAACCGGGCTCACATTTTAAAAACACATTTTCAATAATAACGCGGGCCTGGCTCCAACCCTTTGAGACGAGCCCAATTTTAGTAACGCTGGGGCCAAATAATCACAGTTGCTGACTGATGCTGTCTGCTTCTCTGGGCAATAAAACAGGCTCTCTCAATCTGAGCGCTGCTGATGGCTGCAAGGTAATCACACTCCTCTGGGTTTTTCTACTTTCCGTCATCACCTTTACTGCCCCCACGCCCGCATACACAGGATACTGTACACACACCCTTTTTTATGGCTCTTTTGTCCCTTTTGCAAGTTGTTTTTCATCATGCACTTCAAGACTACCCCCTGAATAGCGCTCTTATTGCACATTTAATCTGCTGTCTGAATAGGACTGAATCTTTACACGACAGTCAAAAAAAAGCAACACACAGCTGTCTTCTTGGTTTCCCCCTTGTCTTTAATAGTAATAAAATGCAAATGCATGCAATTTATATTTTTTTCTGCTGGCTGATCTGTCTTTGTGAAAATTTCAGGATGTATTTATTCCAGTTTTGTCATATAACACCTGTCTGCAGCAGAAAACATTTCCTGCCCCGTCTGTTGAGAGCTGTTAAAGGAGTGAAAGAGTAACTGTCTGGGCAAGTAGAGGTTAAAATAAAGACTACTTGAGCTATGGCACTCTGTAGAGCACTTTAGCAGGGTCTCAGTGAGACTGCCCCTGAACTGAGGTACAATTAAAAAGGAGTCATGTGAGACGAAACCATAAAGATACTTCCTAAATCATAAAACATCAACTTTAATGATGCATGAACCAAGCTTTGTGATTATTTTTAGACTTTCAGGCCAATCAACACATTGTTAGCTTTCTGCGCATACCGAGAATAAACTGAAAGATACATGCTTGAGATAGAAACCCCATCAGACTAAACATTTTCCCAGCTTTACTGTTTTTAACCACTTTTAACTTTTAACTAGCTTTATTTCAGCCACTAAACTCAAAAGTGAAGCTTAGAGTCAAAATATGAGAGCTGGCTGCTGAAAGGTTTTGTCAAGCAAATGAAAAACGGTGTGAAAAAGATGACGTCTATCGTTGTTTCTTCTATAAAAAACCCCAACAAAACAGCTGCTGTCATGCAGTAGACTCTGCAGTCTGGGGTAAAGGATCCTCGAAACCACTAACAAGGAGACTTTTTAAAAATAGCAACATGGCCGCAGAAACAACACATCAACAGAACTGTCCTAAACCAGATTAGAAACGCCTCTTGTCCTTCTGAAGCTAGAGAATACATTGTTTTTAACTGATTTTTCTGGTTTTAAATAGATGTGATAGAGACAAGAACAGGAAATTTGGGGGAAAAGACCAGGGGAATGAACTGCAGCATAGGCGGGGCCCTCTGGGAATGTTATGAACACTAATCGCTCAGCCATCAGGTCACTCCAGGAAATAATCAAAGAATTTATGGGGCTGTGGAGAGCAGTTGATAAATATAAACAGAATATATCATGTCAACACCTCATATGACTTTTTTGCAGTATGTACAGTAGATGCACAAAGATGTAATCAAACCAACCTTAGTGCCCGCACAGGCTTGGCCTTTTCTGTACTCCTTATGGGACATCCTCTTGTCGAGCTTACTCCAAAGCGCTTTTGCTTTCCAGGAAGTAACCTTTGCCTTCAGACTGTTGTAGAAGGTGCTGTGCTCTGCGGGGTCGAGGTTCTGGCATCTGCAGAGGACGTTAAAGGCCTGAAGGGCTCCTTTGCAGGTCGAGGCCTGGATGAAGTTCTCAAACAGCTTCCCTACATTGTCCCTCTCCTCCTCTGTCTCTCCCATCTTCCCAGCTGCAGTAGATGGTCTGGTGTACGGAGGCGCCTGCTTAGTTCAGCGGTCTCTGCCAGATGTGGCTACACCCTCAGCTTGGCCCGCACCATCATGCCCCGTCTGAGGAGGCAAGACACATAAGAGCCTGACGTCATCTTATGGCAAAGAGTCTCTCATAGGTTGCTTTAGGCAAATGACGTTTTTCCCTATTCTGTTATTAGAATGACTAAACTAAGCATTTTCCTTATGTTACATCGAGCTCTTTTAAGGGTTTGTAAACTAAAACGCTGAAGTATTTTAAGGTAGGTTGACAACACAGCTGGATTCTATCTACTGCATGACTCCGGCTTACCATAACGAATTGCTTTAAATTACAGGACAGTCAGTGCCACTCCACACTAAGTCTACAGGCATTTTGAAACACAGTAAGCTTACACCCACATCAACAAGATAAAATTTCAAGCACACAGGAGGATTTGAGACAAACACTAGAGAGAAAACCGAGCACAGAAGTAGAATGAGCCAGTCTGTCAACATCGGGCAGCTGTTGGAGCATATTTACTACTCGTGCTTTATAGAGGCATAACCATGGGAGCCTGTAAATTGAGGTCTCTGTGGTTTTGTGTAGTACGTCCTGGTACAACAAAGAGTCAAACTTTTCAGCAGCTTCAAGTGTGTTTGACAGCTTTGCAATAAAGAAAAGTTTCAATTTTACACAAGAACATCGGCATGAAAATAATGTAACATGCAACTAAAACTGTAGCATGTTTTTGACTGGGATTCATTTTGATACAAGAAAAAAGAAAACATTTCCATCATAGCCAGTTTTAAATTGAGTAACTAGCATTTATATATCAAACACCAATGAAGCCCATCATGGGCTCCATTCCCTAAAATAATAACACAATAAAGTGAAGGTGCAGCGATTTGTTAAAACATGTCAACATAAATGTAGCATATCAGGTGCGAAACGGAGTTTAAAGAATTGTAACAATCTGGATTATTTGGTGTGACTATCTTTAGATGGCTGCCGTTCCCTAAGACTGGTTCTGCCAGAGTCTTCTTCCTTGTTACTCATGGTTGTTGGGGGCATCTCTGCAGTGTTGTAGGGTCTAAACCTTACATTATGAAGCACCTTGAGCCAACTGTTGTTGCGATTTGGCATTATATATTTGTTCTGTCTGATGATCCCACACTGCTTCAGTAATGTTGGGGTCCGGGTTGTGGGGAGGCCAATCCATGACTGATAGAAAAACACACAATGGAACACTATTTGGGTTTGCCTTTACTGTATTGGCACTGTTTTTGGGATCCACCTTTGCCAATCAGTTACTTTCCCAATGTTACTGCATGGTGGATCAACATCTGATGGTGTGTTCGTAATTCCATCAATTTTGACAAGATTCCCATCACCACTGGCTGAAATCCAGCCACAAACATGACAGAGCATCCATCAGGTGTTACAGATGGCTGTGAACACTCACTGTTGGACCTCTTGCCTGACCTCCCATCTGATCAGACTTTTTCCCTATTTCTTTAGGGCATGACTTTCAAATACAGTTCATCTGCTGTGGATAGTTTTTAGGCCTGTCACTTCTTTTATCCTCCATTTTTCCAGTTTCCTCGAAAACTATGAAAGCCTGGAGAACTATTGTTCAAAGCTGCTTAAAAAATAATAAAACAAAGTCTGGTTCCTTGGAAACAAATTATAGAGAAATGAGGGCGGCTCAAGACTTTTGCATATCACTTTATTTATCTTGCGGTATTTTTCGCTCCACTAAAAAACCAGACAGTGTTTTTGGAAGGAAGAAAGAGGTCCTTGAAATTCACTGTAAGGAAACGTTAGACTAACATAGGCTGATAGATGTGATTAGGTATGCACGCTTTATAGCCCACCTTGTACTCAGATATTTGTATTCATTATGCGCCTGCGTGTGAAAGCGATTGTTAATAACACATGCTCGTGTCATCGCAGAGCTGAACTGACAGAACAAAAAAAACCTTCACTTCTCTCTTTCTTCCAAACAACCATCAAGCATTTTGAAAACCACGCCACAAAAGTCTGTGCCAGGGGTTCAACATCAAAGCGAAATGTGAAAAATGTCTGCATTAAGCATGTGTGGGCTAACTTGGGTGGAGACCACAGCTTCCGTGAGTTTTGGGCGAAGTCTGCCTTTGGTATTTTAATGTCTAATGGAGGGACATAGGCATGGTTTGAAAAGAGGTCAGTCTACAAGTGCAAGACTTGGCCAGAGCTAAAGAATAACACAGTCTTACTATCAAATCCACGGGCCCACGGGCCTACATGAGCGCGACTGTCGTAGGGAGCTTAAGTCAGAAACGAAATTAAAAGAATAAATAAAAAACAACAACAAGCAACCAGTGAAATTTACTCACATTCAACGACCATTGAACCCTGGGTCAGGACAGTTTGGATTGTGTTTTGAATGTGGTGAGATTTTGAATGTTGCTACCACAGCAACAACAGTGTCCCCAGGCTAAAATTAACATATTCATTTGCAAAAGATCCTGTTTGGCCCTGTGTTTGCATCCTGTTTTGCTGCTCCTGTCGGTGTGGCTTTACACTTTAGAAACCGGCTGGGAAAGGGAACATTGTCAAACCAATTGAAAAGACGTATACCATTGTGTGTGCTTCAAAAAGCTCCTGTCCTGTCAGTAAATCTCATAGACCTCTGAGGCCTTCACAGCAAACATCCAGCCTCACTCAGTGAGCTGGCATTCCTTTGCCACGTGGCTAGAAGAGCCCTGAACTGCTCCATCAGCATGAGTTCAACACTCACACTGCTAGCCCTCTGGCTTCACCAGCCACAACTCGCAGGACCACCTCCACAGATTTTTGGGAAATCTACTCTTAATTGTCAACAACTGACAAGCAAGAACTACGATGAGCGTGATTAATGATACACAAGCTTTAATCCTACATGCATGGCAGGAAACTGTGATTGGAATATTGTTGTATATTCATGGGGTTTTTTAAGCTTTTGTAATGTCTTCCATTGCCTGTATTTAGTCATTTTCTTTGACATTTGCATTATAATAATCTTTTGGGCTGCTAAGTTATACCACAAAATGAACAAAAGAAATTTCCATTGTCATCACTATTGTCTGTTGCTGTATTTTCTCTATGCAATGACATCATTTTACTCTAAACTTTGGTGAGTGTTCAATAAGCTCTCATGGACGGCTCAGTCAAAGAGATGTTTACTGCATTTATGTATTCACATTACAGTCTAAGCAAAGTGGTAAAACAGGCACCCTTATTGGAAACATCTGCTATAGGAGCCTGCGAGGACTATTGAAAAGGTACCACTTACTGTCTTCAGAGCCAAGTCGATGCTCAACACTCTAACTGCACTGTCTCTGGCAGAGTCCTATGACTTCACCATCCCTGCCTGACAGAATGGAAAGTCACTTGTGGGCCGACACAGTGAATCCGCAAAGCAGCTGTAAAAAATATAACTAATGACAGATGAAGCAGGCTGAACGCACATGCACACACGCCATACACGTCTTATGTCTAACCATATAATGCTTAATAGGATTGGAGATTTTGATTGCATGTAGGTTTAAGTTTCCTGTGTGTTTAGAAAGGAGTATAATTAAGTGAAACTACCTTAGTCCTGAGAAGATCAAGGGAAGTGATTAATTGTAAAAAGGCTGGTTTTTATATAGAAATAGCTTTGGTTTGTTTGTTTTAATTATCAATCCAGGAAGTACTAATATCTGATAAATTTTCAGTGATGTCACAGTACTTTGTGCAATCATTTTGTTGTAAAAAAAAAAAGAAAGAAAAGAAACAAAACTCCTGAACAACAAATGCTTGTTTGGAACAGTGGCCAAGAGAAAGGCTCTTTTCCTCTTAAAAAAGAACTTGTAAGCACAGCTTAGGTTTGCAAAGTCGCATCTGAACAAACCACAAGACTTCTGGATGAATCTCCTTTGGTGAGACAAGACCAAAGTGAAGATGTTTGACCATAATTCCCAGCACCACATCTGGGAAAAACCAAACACAGCATATCAGCACAAACACCTCATACCAACTGTCAGCCAAAGTGGTGGAGGGGTGATGATTTAGGCTTTTTTTGTTTTGTTTTTTTGCAGCCACAGGACCTTAGAGTTATTGAGCCCACCCTGACCTCCTCTATATAACAACTTGTTCGAGAATCAAATGTAAGACTAACAGTAAGCTTGGCCTAAACTAGGTCATGCAAGAGGACAATGATCCCAAGCACACGGCTCTCATGTTGGGTCACTGGAGCAGGTAGCTCTCCAAATTTCATTTGGAAGATTCTTGTAAAGAAAAGTGGGACAAAATTCCTCCACAACAAATTGACAAAATGACACAATCCTACAGAAAACAATTACTTTAGGTTCTTGATGCTAAATGTGGTTTTTCAAGCTACTGAATCATGCGATGTACTTTGTTTTTCACAGTACTGTGAGAACATTTTATCTCATTCCTGCATACGGATGAGCATGCAACTGAGTGTCCTACATATAAAATGAAAGCACTGACGTGTCTTTGAGAGACACCGCCAGGTATCAGTTTTCAGTATGATAAAGGAGGAATCTTAGGAATGTGAAAGTGTACCTGCAACACCTACACAACAAAAATCTTTAAATCTTTATGTCCTCCTACACTACTCTATAAGATATATACTTTCTTTGTCTGTGGCCCTCAGGAACATGTTAATTTGTTACTAGCAAAGCCAGAAATCATTTTTTAAAAAGAGGCATAAACAAAATATTTTGTACCCTATGTAGTATGGCCTTTGTATACCTGTGTATCTGGAAAAGGAAAAATGGCACCAAAGAGGGGGGGAAAGCAACAACGATTCATTTACTTGTGACTTTATGGTGTCAGTCTGTTTGTTTTTTTCCTTATTATTCAGTTGAATCAATTTTTTCTCTAAATTTTCATAGATATGGCATTCACACTGGCCACTATTTTCCCTACTGGCAACCCTTTTTCTTTACTTTAAGTCAGTTGACTTCTGTTTGCTTTGGCTTCATTGATTTGATGAGTCTGCTTAGTTGAACTGGCAGTTTAAATGATCTGCATGTTGATGTTATAGACTTTGGGTGGATGTGTATATACC